CTTGGGAGCAGTCCAGGCTGGAGATATAAATCTGGAAGTCATCAAACTGTTGAGAAATGTTTTATGGAAGAAAAAACTTCTGAGGCATCTAGTTCCCAAACTCCATCTTCTCAGAAACGTGAGAAGCCAGTTCTCTCCCTTCCTAGGAAGACAAGGACTCAACCCAAGAGACCCACTTGATTGTTTTTAGATCTTTCATAGCTTATGGAAACCTTCAATGAATTCCCAGCCCTGAAAATAGAAATTATTCATACTATGAACAAGCATAAACCCAAGTCTCCTTAGGACACAGTACCTAGGGACAACGACATTTTCATTTTTCAGAGCAGGCTGAGTCTAAGCTAATTACATTTCTTGTTCCTGAACAGTGTGATTTGTTTTAGTTTGCTATCTGTTCAGCCAGGAGAATAGTGAATTAACAATTAAGCCTGCTGGAAACACATCACCAAGTGGGACTCAGTAAATATTTATTGACAATGATAAGGCTGTTATTTATCAATGCCATCAGATTGGAAAGAAAATTGCGAGCTGTCTGCAGAGCATCAGAGGCTTGTCATCTTACAGGTGAGGGACGTGAGGAAGTGAGGTGTTTGACTCAACAATCACCATGAGGAAGAGGCCAAGCAGAACTCGCCTCTGAACTCACTCTAAACACATTCTTTACTTTTTCTGCTATGTTGCACTAGTGTTTTGAGAAATGGATGAATTCCACTAAGCCAGTTCAGATGTTTGAGAGGTTAACCTTTCTAAAGAACAGTAAAATCTCATGAAGTGAAAATAATTGGAAGGATGGCGAGGCTAAATTGGAGAAAAGCTTGAACTATTTTAAAAGGCATTCAGTGTTTTTCCATTCAAGGCCATGTAGTGAATGAGAACAAATAAGCATGGAATAGGGCCAAGTAGCAGTCTTAGTGAACCTGCTTAAAGACCAAATATATATATTTTATATATATATATGTGTAATTTGTAAAGGGCGCATTCATACTTTGCGTTGATGACTGCTAAAGGTATCTTAGGCACTGGAGAAAATATTTTTATTAGAAGTAACATAAAGATTTGCCTTGAAAACTCCTTTTCAATATACCTAGGAAGCTTAACAACTTAAAGAGTAAATGTTGGTCAAACTACATGTTAAAATGATGTATTGGATTGAATGGCTTATAAACTTAAACCAAGTTTAACGGAAAATGTTAGAACTAAAATAAGAATCAAATACAACCAAAATAGTCTAATTTCTCTTTTGGTGGCACTGGGGTTTAAACTCATGCTTGCTAGGCAAGTGCTATACCACTTAAGTCACTCTCCCAGTCCTCCTTTGTTTTTTGTTTTTTTGCTTTAGTTATTTTTCGAATAGGGTCTTGCGATTTTTTTGCCCAGCCAGGTCTAAAGCACAATCCTCCTATTTATACTTCCTGCATAGGGTGGAATGACAGATGAGTCCCACCACACTCAGCCTTGTTGGTGGAGATGGGGTCTTATTAACTTTGTGCCCCGATAGTCTTGACCTTCCATCCTCCTGATCTCCATCTCCTGAGTAGCTGGGATTACATGCACCAACCAGGACTCCCAGCACGTTCTGCTTTTTTAATGAAAAAATTAGTTTCAGAACAGCTCAACCAATCCCGGAATATTTAGAAAACAGCGTAAACTCTTTCCTACCACATGTAGGGTAGCAGAGTTTAAGAGTCTTTCATCTTCAGACTTGAGCTCTCCTAAGAGAGTAAATATCAAATTACCAGGTAAAACATCATAGTTCTTAATCTAAGAATCCTGGCTAGAGGTTGGAGAATCTATTTTTTTCTTATTTTACAGTTTTGCTGTAATCGACTTGCTTGGCATTATTTCTGTAGCTCACAGCAGCACAAATGTTGACATCTGTCTCTCTCACTTTCCATCCCCTTAATTTTTCACCTCTCCACAGCAGCAGAGTGCCTCCAGCTGCTTGAAAATGAAGTATTTTCAGACGATTACCCTCCCCACACTCCCACGAGTGAATTTTGTCCCATGAGCCTGTGCTGCCTCTCACCATTTGTGAGAAGTCTCTGCATTTGGCTGCCCCGAGTTGTTTTTTATTCATACACTGAAGGTTCATTATGAAGTTTAGAAATATTGAGCCTGGTTATCTGTGGTTCTTTGTTTAACAGCTATCAGGCAGATTACCCCTGCAGTAGTCCATGGGGCTTCTCTCTCTCTCTTCAAATCAGCTTCTTCCTTCTTTACTGTCTATGCCTCAGGATTGTGGACCTGGCAAGTAGCACGTGGGAGGTTCCAGAATGGCTGAGGGGGATGGTATTGACTAATGGGAGGCTATTTGGGAAAACAGTGTGCTCACAGCTGGGGAGAAAAGAAAGGGATCTCTGATTGGAGACATATAAGGCTTTTCTTGCTGGCTGAGTTGTCCTGGAGAGGACTCAAAGATCCACATGTCCTGGGGGGGGGGGAGGACCTAACCAAAACAAAAAAGAGGGCTACAGATATTTCTGACTTGTATTGTTAGGCTATCCTGATGAAACAGCTGAAATTCAAAGCAAAAACAGAGGTGCTCTGGCATTCCCTGCTGGTGACCTGCTGCCCCCCTCTGGAGACATTGGGAACTGACGCTTTTGGTTCTCATTTCCTTTAGGGTTATGCTTTGGATGGACTGTCTTACCCAAAGGTGTTTTGCTACAGTGTGAAGATATGCTCAGCACAATCTATGGTTTATTCAGTGAGTTTATGTTGATTTCGAGCAATGCAAGGGTCTTCATTTTGTTTCCTGGCTGGAGGATGACTCTTTAGTTTTGTGAACCATCTGTTATGTTCTTTTCTTCTTCAATCCAGAGGCTAAGCTAAAGCCACTTTTCTTGGCAGCCTTGGACTTGCCAGGAGTGCCTCCTGACTTGGAATCCTGCCTCAGTAATCTTATCCTTAAAAGGGAGTTTGGACTTTTGAAGTCTGAGCCCTTTCAGGCTCCAATTCCATAAAAAAAAAGTTTACTGTGAGAACTATCTGTACATGAACTCTTTGATATTAAATGAGCCTTTCCTTTTAATAAGCAAGATTTCTGGAAATAAAATGAGTGTGCTTGGAGGAGGGGCTGAATTTCAAAACAATTTTCAAGCAGTACGTCTACCACTAAGAGGCAGTGTTGACATACATTTCAAGAATAGTTTCTACATATAGTTCCTGCTGATGGATATTTTTCATATCAAAGGATATAGGAATGATTAAAGGTTACAATATTTTGTGTGGTGATAAATTTCTGAAAAGAATATTAAAGGGACATGCATTTTTTCAGAGTAATACAACAGACAAATTAAGTTTTTACCATATATGAAAGGAAGTATTAAATATTGAACTTGGTTTGGGAATGTAAGAGAAATGGAAGATAGAAACTTGCAAAAAAAAAAAAGTGGAGTTCATTCTTATTTCACCTAAGCCATGTGCAACCTCTGAGAAGTATGCAACCGTTCTCTTCCTGTGCATCAGGGAGGAGTGCAGTATTAACTTTTAGAAGATTCTGGAACTATGTTTCCCTTTAAATACTGCTATCTCCTTTAAAAGTCCAGTGTACTTGTGAAATTGGTGGTGTTTTCTTTTAATAAATGGAGAAATTGAAGTAGAGAGATTTCACGCAGGGCTAAAATTATAGAACTAAAATAAAAATCAAATATAAGACGTCTCATTGCTCTTCTTTAATAGCAGAAAAAAATCACAATTTCAAAACAGCTCAACCAATCCAAAAATGTTCAGAAAGCAGCATGAACTCTTTTTTTGGGACAAGGTCTTACTATCTTGTCCAGGTTGGTCTTAAACTCCTAGACTCAAGTAATCTCCTGTCCCAGCTTCCCTTGTAGCTGCGACACAAGCTGGTGCCACTGTGCCAAGCTATGAACTCCTTATTACATCAAGAGTAGCCATATTTATTCTAATAGATTTGCATGTGCAGGCTTGAATTCTCACAGGAGAGTAGATATTCTCAATCTAGGAATCCTGGCTTGTGCTTGCAGAATCTCCCCCCGCCCCCCCTCCTTTTTTTTTTCTTATTATGCTTTTTTTTTTTTTTAAGCTACCAAAGTAACCCAAGTTCACTGCTCTTCAATCTGACACTGGAGGCATTTAGGGAGGTCGAGGTTTGAGCAGTGTGAGGAAGACCAGTTTCCCCATCTCTCCTCCTCCTCCTCATTGCTCTGTCGGTTGCTTGGTGGTAGACGTGAGTCAGGGAGTGGAGAGCATTCTGGGACTCTGAGAACAGGACTCCGGGCTCTGGAGATACAATGCCTACTCCCATCTGGTTGACTTTCTCATAAGGATAAACTTACAATGGATGGTCCCCATATCGGAAGCGTCCAATAGCAATGGCTTTCAAACCATTAATGGTGAAGGGATGCAGTTGCCCAGCATGCACAAGACAAGGCCCTGGGTTTATTCCCCAGCACTACAAAAAACCAACAAAACCAACCATTCATGGGTCATAAAAATCAGTTTTAAGGGTTTCAACCAGCATGTTTTATTAATGAAATAGGTTGAGATGGAAAGGAATAGAATAGAAAATACCAGAATGAATAGCACATTTTGTTTCAGTGGCTATATGTTACATGTTTTTGGTGTGTCATTATATAAATGGATTCTTACTCAGAGGCATGTACCCATAGCACCTTATCTGTCTGTCCCTGGCTGGTGCCTGTGCTATTTATGACAGTTCTTGTCTCATCCTCCTTACAAGCCTACTAACTTATTGAAGTAGAACTAATGTCTGAATTGCGTTCTTTTCTTGCAGTAATTTCCATAAGACCTTACCCATGATGGGTGCTTAGGAAACTTGTTTAAGATTTACTGCATACTCTTTGTTGTTGTTTCTAAGGAAACTTCTAGAGATTTGTCAAGTGCTATTTGCGATTCTGTTTTCTTCTGCTAATACCAATTATGTGTAGGCTGGCATGAACACAAGCCTTGCTTTTCCTTATGTGTGCACTGTTGCCCAAACATGAGGGAATTGACCCTAAGTAGCTTCGTTGTGGCTACTGTGCTGATTTGAATTTTTGTTTTTCAAAGAGCTCTCTCAGCTGCTGCTCTGTCGTGGCTTCCTTCTGCTGCATCAGCTCTGCTGTCCCTTTGGTCACTCCCCAGGCATCTGGCTTTGACATGGAAGGATTGTATGGCCTGCCTGAGGCTATCCGAAGGTTCTGCCAGTACTCCTTCTGGGCCCTGTGTGAACAGAACACGTTGTCAGGCTCCTCCCCTGGTGTCAGGCTCTGGGTTGCAGAGCTAAAATACACCCATGGAGCTGTCTTTGGACTTTGGAGTGTGTCCATGAAGGCGTGTTGATGCTTCCAGACTTTCCAGCCTTAGAAGCTGTAGGCCTACAGTCACTTGAGTTCTTTGAGTGGAACACTCTTTTAACACATGCATAGGGTTCAAAAGCTTAGAATTTAGAACTGGGAAATTTTCATTGTTTTTTAAATCTTTTTGTTTTTGTTTTTGTTCTTTTGAGATGGACTCTCACTATGTAGCCCAGGCTGGCCTTGAACTTGAGATTCTCCTACTTTAGCTTCCCTAGGGCTAGAATTACAAGCGTGAACCGCCTGCCAGGTTAGAATCAGGATATTTTTATTCAATTTATGCAACCTCTCTGTCCTCATATTCTGGCACTCTAACTCATGGACCAGCTCTGTCCACATTTATTTTAATTTTTATTAGCATATATTAGCCAAAACAGTGGGTTTCATTGTGACATGCGTGTGACATATTTTGATGATGTTCATCCCCATCATCTTGTCTTTATTCCCTCTACTGCCCCTTCAACCTTTCTCTCTCTTTCTTGTGTATTGGGATTTGAACTCAAGGCTTGGCATTTGCTAGGCAGGTGCTCTACCACTTAAGCCACACACCCCCTCCACCATTCACACTTAAATGTGTTCTTCTCCAAGCCCATGATGGCTTCTGCACTCGACCGTGGATTCTGCTACCAGCCTTCTTCCTATTTCCATCATTTCTGGGAGCCCTTCTACAAGGTCCCTGAGCAGGACGGCTACTGCAGTTTGCTGACTTGGAACCTAACCTTACCCTGGGCACTTGAACCCTTCCCCTCCAGGCTCCTCGCTGCTCATCATCACACGAGCACGGATGATGAAAAGCCTCCTCTCCTGCATGTCTGTCATCTATCGACCTCTGTCTCTGCTAGACTCAGACTTCCAGTTTCTCCCTACACCATTCTCTTTCCACCTGTCAGGGCCTCTTGCAAGCTACTCATCTGGCAATGTAATTCATCGTTCAAAATTCAGCTCAGGTGGCAGCTTTCTTTGACATTCTTCATTAATCACCTTCTGCCTTTTGCTCCGTGGGCCATTAGCTCAGACCCCACACAGCTGTGCCTGAACTTACTCTACCATTTGAACTTCCCCACTTAGCTCTCTGACTACTGGGTTGTTAAATGTCAGGGGGCAGGGCTAGGCTACTTTAGCATCCATGACCCTATCTGGCAGATAGTCGTCTGCTGAATGGAGTAGAATTGACCCCTCTGCTTAGACACCCTTCTATCCCCTTTCTTTTCTACTAGATGGAATTCTAATTAACCTTCTAAACTTAACCCTGTTGCCAGGCACTGGTGGTTCATGGAATCCTAGCTACTTGGGAGGCTGAGATTGGGAGGATTGTGGTTCAAGGCCAGCCCAGATAAATAGTTCAAGAGAACCCCCCCTCTCCAAAATAACCACAGCAAAATGGACTGGAGGTGTGGCTCAAGTGGTAGAACACCTGCTTTGCAAGCATGAAGCCTTGAGTTCAAGCCCCAGTCACACACACACACACACACAGTCACACAAAACATCACCCCCCCAAACCTTCTAACATATCTTTCTATTAAGCAGAGACAGTCATTATTTTCTCTAGTGCCTTTTTATCTATGGCTCTATTAAAGCAGTTATACTGATTTTCTTAGTCATTTTCCCCAGTGAATCTCAAGCCAGAGAACACAGATATCCATTTTTGCTATTTCCCATGCCCTGCACAGTGCCTGACATCAAACTTGCTTCCTGGTTTATGATTCGTCCTTACCACTGGAGTGTGAGCTGCGGGCAAAGACCTTGCCTGTCTGTCTCACCACTGCATTCCCAGTTCTGAAAATCCTGCCTTAGAATGAATATTATTACAAAGTTACATTTAACTCTTAAAATCAATGTTAGCATACCCCACATGGACGGTGCATTACAACAGGACAACTCCTATGTCACTGTCACTTCAGTTACAGACATTCTATATTCTTAAAGCCTTCTCAGAAACCACCCCATCAAGATGTCTTATAAACATCTCTGAAAGAATTTAACGATGGTGACTAACTCCTCATCCCATTGCCACTTACTTGCCCCCTTTCAGTGGCCTCACTCAGATACATTCAGAATCTGAACAAGTTTGGGTCAGCCAATGTAACTTAAAGGAACTTACCTTGCTCTAATCCAGGGTTTGGTGTGCATGTCCAAACCACTTCCCCAGCTGCCATGTTTTTCTGATGCTGGTGGCAAAAACCCCCGTTCTGGGGCCAGCTCCTCTGCAATCGCCCTGATATGGTAAGGCTCAAATCCACAGCACCCGCCAATGTACCTGACCCCCAGGTTGTAGGCCTCTCGGGCGTATTTTTGAATATCCCATCTGGTGGCAACTCTGGGCTCCAGTCCTGTAATAAATGGCATCATGTCTGAATTCTTTTTATAAAAACATTCAAGATAAATACCTCTAAGAAGCATGTAATTAGGCTGGGCATGGTTGACATGCTTGTAATTCCAGCACATGGGAGGCTAAGGCAGAAGGACTGGCAAGTTCAAGGCCAGCCTTGGCTATATAGTAAGACCCTGTCTCAAAAAGCTATAAAAAAAGCACATGATTTTTTATAAAAGGAATTAATTAAATAAGTTCTGACAGTTCAATTCTTAGGCTTTAAAAATATTCATTACCTTGTGTTTACATACCCAGTTTATATGACTCCCAACGATCCCTGCCCTCTGATGCTCTTACACTGTGTATGTCAGGGTTGGTCTGTGAGATCAGGGGAACATGGTGGGAGGATGGCAAGTGACTTCAAAGGCTGGGTAGTAGAAAATGTCATGCTTTCTGCCCTGCTCTTTCTTGACCCACTCACCCTTGGGAGAGCCAGCCACCAAACATCATCATGGCCCATGAGCTGAGGAACTGAAGCCTCCAGTCAGTAGACACCAACTTTCTCCCAAGAGCCACCTAAGTGAGCTTGGAGGAAGAACCCCAGTTCCTATCAGGCCTTTAGTACTGGTCAACATGGACTGCACCTTCTTAAGAGACCTGAAGGAAACCACCCAGCTAAGCCCATAGAACCGTGAGGTAAGAAACACTTGGGTTTTTTATTCACTTTTTTGGGGGGAGGTAGTGGGGTTTGAACTCAGGGCTATTGTGCTTGTGAAGCAGGTGCCCTAACACTTGAGCCACACCTCTAGCAACCCTTGGGTTTTGAGGCTCTATGTTTTATAATAATTCAGCAAAAGGAACACAAATGCCCTGCCACTCTCTTCCTCCCTGGTTCCTCCCTAGTTGTTATCTTAATCTTACCTCTCTGAGCGCCCCCATAGAATATAGGACTCCAGGATGGGAGGGGAGGCTGGCCTCCCTGCTTGACTCTCAAGGTAGACTCACCCCCTCCCTTCCCTCACATGCACGGCCTAGGCGCCCTTAATTCCCTGGCTTCACCTGCTGCTCTCTTCATGAACACTTGCTGCACAGTAACCCAGCCCATCCCAAAGGCTCTGCAGTATCCCAGCAACGTGGGAGGGAGGGACGGGGCTTCGGAGGTAACTGTTCCGTCCTCGTTTTTCTAATGAGAAAGATAAGAGCTAGAGGAATAAGGGATTTTCTTCCCCTAAGGTCACACACCTCAGTCACAGAGCTGGAACTACAACCAACTCTCTGCTGGTTCCTACCCTGGAGAGTGGCCTTGTCACCAACCTCAGAGCTTGACCGATTGGCCATTACCTCTGATTTTACACTTTGGCTCAGGGTTTGGTTTGGTTTTTCTCTAGCTGGTCTTACCTTGGTCCTTCTACAGTTCAGTGTCAAGGGAGTTTTGGCTTCAGGAACAGAAACTAAGGGAAGGGCAAGAGATGAAGAGATGCAATATGCAGCCATTTCTTTTCCTTTTTTTTTTTTTTTTTTTTTAGAGGTATTGGGGATCAAACTGAGGGCCTCACACTTACTAGGCAGGTGCTGTATCACTTAATCCACATGCCCATCCCTTTTTGCTTTGTTTATTTTTCCTATAGGGTCTGTACTTCTTTTATTTTTTTCCCCTTGGAGCCAGCTTCAGACCATGATCCTCCTATCTATGCCTCCTGTATAGCTGGGATTACAGAAATGAACCACCATAACCTGCTTGTTAATTGAAATGGAGTCTCACTAACTTTTTGCCTGACCTTGAGCCTCAGTCCTCCTACTCTCCATCTCCTTAATAGCTGGGATTACAGGCATGTACTGCCATGCCTGGTCCAAACATTTCTTTACTCTAACAAAAGCTCTTTGGTGACAGATTCATTTGAAATTTGTCAAGCAAAGATACTGAGATAATTCATAAAAAATGTCTGTCTTACCAAAGGGGAATTCTGGGAGATCAATAAATCCCTGTTTGCCACAGTCGGGAGTGTGGTAAGCCAAGGGCTGGCTCATCAGGTGAGCTTTCAACTGGGCGGCCTCCAGGCCTTCTTTCATGAGCTTCACGGTCTGTAAACTGATTGTAGGGTCAAAGTGGCAGTTAACACCAACGATGGCGGCCCCTGTGATTGAGGAGAAGGTGTTAGCTTTAGGGATGCCCCACGCTCCTCTCCCCCTCGGGAAGCTTTTATCTGGAATGAAAAATTGGAAAGCCAGCGTTTGGTCCTTGCTCCCTGCAAACCCATCTCACCAGTGAGCAAGAATGACCGCTTGTGGGCAGGAAGGGCTTTCTGCAGAACATGCTTGGGAGAGACTGGTATAAAGTGCCACTTATGCACACTCGGTTGTCCATCTTTTTTCTCCCCACCCCCCAAAATAATTATTATAGTTTATTTTGCTTCAAATTTCAGCAGTCAATTTTTCAATGTTCGACATTCTGTGGCAAACACAATAATTTTTCAATACTCCATGCACCTGTGTTTACCGTAATGCTACTCATCCGAGGTGTAAATAAAATGTTCTCTCTCACAGGCCCTTAATAATCTCGCCAGGCTTCCTGGGCACAACCACACAAAGTCATTTATTTTTATTTTTATTTTTTTTTAGAAATCTGTTTTCTAGAAGGCATTTGTGGTCTAGGATTAGTGGTTTGGGAAGAAAAAAAATCTCAAAAATCTTTTGATTTGAGCTACATGGTCAATGACCACTGGGACCAGCTTCCCCCCTGGCTCCCAACAACTCTGGGTTGACTTCTTAGGCCTTTCTTCTAAAATTTGTTGCTGTGAAATTTGGTTTAATGAGAACGAAGTATACGCTGGATCCTTCAATTTTTAAAAAAAAAATTTTTCTTTATATTCATTACATTCCTAATTGTATCTGGACCAAGGATGGTTTATCATGGCAATTGTTAGATGTGGTTTTAGAAATTTCTTTCTCCAGAAGATGTGAAGAGATAACATGACATTACTCTGTCCTCTCAAAATGGGAGGACTTCCCAAATAGAACTGTTCTTCTTCTTTTTGAGTTCTGGGAAAATATGTAATCATCAAATTGGCCATTTCAATCATTTTTAAGCATACAGTTCAGTGGCCTTAACTGCACTCACAATATTATGCAACTGTCACCACGATTTACAAAGTTATACAGCACCCCAAACGGAAACTATACCCCTTAAGCAAAAACTCCCAGTTTCCCCCTCGCCCCTTGCCACCTGGTAACCACTAATCTACTTATGTTTTTGTGGGCTTGCCCATTCTAGATATTTTATGTAAGGGAAATAAATTGATATTTGTCTTTTTTGTGACTGGTTTATTTCACTTAGCTTTCTGTTTTCAAGGTTCATCCCTGTTATAACATATATCAAATTGTATTCCTTTCATGGGTAAATAATATTCCATTGCATGGATATACTATGTTTTGTTTATCCATTCATCTGTTGAAGAGGGACTACTTCTGGGATGTTTCTGCCTCTACAAAGATGATCTTTTGGATGGACTCATGACCTAGGATGTTGTATCTTAGATACAGAGATACTAAGAACAAAGGCAGGAAAGAGTCTTTCTGGATGCCACGAGAGTGACACCAATATCCATATTCCAGCAACAGCCTTGATGCTACAATACTTGGCATCCAATGTGGAGGGGTGGTGAATCAGGGGTTCTCCCTGGCCTGGACCTGCAGCCTCCAGTTCATTCTTGTTTCATTCTCGAGGCTCTGTCCTCATGACACTTCAGCCATAGCTTTTGTCATGGTTACCAATGATCTCAGTCTTGCACACATTCCTGTGGGTGTCCAGCAGAATTCAGTCCCCTTCTACTAGCTCCAGAGACCCCACACACACTCTGTGCTGCTCCTGTCTCCCTGGCTGCTGGTTCTTTTCAGTCCTGGAGTCCTAAGTTCCCACCTCCACTACTCTTCCTTTTCAGTCTAGCACTTTCCATAACATAGACACCCAGCTGTCCACATTCCTGCTCTAACACTGGCCTTTCTCACTGAGTTCCAAACTTGCATATTTGTTTCTTACTTCTCTCCACTTGGATCTTGACTCTCTGTTTATTTTCTCTTTGGATGTTGGGGCTGCCAGGGATTTCTCTTAACTTTATCATACTAACAAATCAGTCACATGTTGGCTATTTATTGGGGGCATGCTAGGTATAAGTTTCCTTGCAAGAAAAGAGGTTATAGAGAAATATAAGCATAGGATATAGTCCCTGACATCAAGAATTTTTATAATTTAGACTGGGTTTTCCCAGGGTTTGGTCCATGAAAATAGGTTTTTATGATGAATTAAGTCAGGCAGTAGCTAGCTCTTCATACATTTCCTTCTTGGAGACTGACCATATATTTGAGTAAGTTCTGCAGCAAAGATCCATACATACCTTGTTTTTTGTTGTTGTTTGTTTGCTTGTTTTTGTTTCAGGAGGTACTGGGCATTGAACTTAGGGCCTCAGCATAACTTAAAAAATTTTTAAGTGCATTTGGCCACAGAATCCTACGAACATTCTCACAGATGGGAAAATGTCACCTGAGGCTACTCCAACCGAATATTTGGCTATTCCAAATGCTATGGTTGCTGAGAAGAGGGGGATACCTCAGGGCAGGGATGATTGTGTCAGGAAACGTGGAGGCAGAGGCTGAGCTACACATTGGAAGATGGACAGATAGTCATCAAGCATCTCTTATGTGCTAGGCATAGGATATTCAGTGCTGAGCCAAACAGACATGGTCTCTGCCTTTCTGGATCTTACAGTCTAGAGAGCATGCTCCAAAGGACATAAATAGGGTACAGAGATAGAAAGATGGAGGCCTCAGTACAGAACAAGGAGGGGAGGATTGGGTGCAGGCACAGCACCCCCACACACACCAGTTACCAAAGGGGATGGTGAAGACCTCCCCTGATTTTTTTAAACTGTTAACTTGCTTCACTCCCCCACCAAAAAGTAGAATTATATGAGTTCATTCCCAAATAGAAATATTTCTTATTATTAATGACAAGTATGAAAGAGACTTTCATAAAAAAAAATCAGGAGTTGGGTGAGAATCAGAAATTAAATCGCCAGTCAAAATTTCTTTTTTTCACAGAGTGAGCCAGGCTCTTTCCCTGACACTGAATTACTCCTTGGGTTTAAATGAGGCCATTTTGAAAGTAGTCTGTGAGTTTCTCATAATTGAAATGAAAGCCAGTGCTAGGAAGGGAAATTGCATAGAAGATGTATTAGGTGGTCAGTTTTTCATATCAAAGTTTTTTTGATTTATTATACCAATTATAAAAAGCAAATCATGCTTGTCACTTAGGAGAGTGAAAAATCTTTGGCAAAGAGGGCAAGTAGCTTTAAAGTTATTAATGTTTACAGACCACTTCTGGAAACAAGTTTAAAAGAAAGCACATTTTATCCTAATGTTTCTCTTGACTGTTCTTCTTATTTCTAGGTGTTTAAAAATTCCAGGATAACCTGGTTGCCTGTGTGTGTGTGCGTGCGTGCGTGCATGTGTGCGTGCGTGCGTGTGTGTGTGTGTGTGTGTGTGTTGTATTTATACTTCTCTTTCCTTTGGGATTCAATAGTGACACTGTTTCTAAAACAGTAAATTCATGCTTCTCCCGTTACCATATATTTCCTTGGCTGTGTCCAGGATTACCCGTGGATCCCTGGGAGGACGTGCATTTGGGGATACTATTTTAAAAGACTCACAAATTGCAAACAGATGGAAATCTAGCCTCACCTGCTCTCACCAGACGCACTGCGCACTCTCCAGGGGGCACACCATGCAGATCCCCTTCGGGTCCGATGCACATGGTTGCTGCCACTGGTTTGCCCGAGGTTTTCAAGGTCTCCACTGCCCACACAGCTTCTTCAACATGTTCAAAATACTGAAATCAGTTAAGGTGAGAGATCTGTTACTCATGCTTCCCTTGTAACAATGAGAACACTCTGCTGTTTGATCATTACCTGGCTTTTCTAGTGATAATTCAGCGAATATGTTATTATTGCTAGTGATTATATCTAGTGATGATTTAGTGAGACAATAAGCATTGTAAATACAGAATAGAATGGAATGGCAGTTTCTTAGTGTAAATTTGCAGTCAAAAGGTTTGGAAAACATTGGATTAGAAAATGGAGGTGTAGGTTCACTCCTATAATCCCAGCACCTGGGAGACTGAGGCAGGAAGATCCTGAGTTTGAGACCACCCTGGGCTACCTAGTGAGACCCTGTGTCAAAAAACCAAAACAACAAAGCCCTGCTATGTTAGAGTAACTGGATCAAAGTTAGCAGAAGCCTTGAACTGGAGAAAGATTCCACGAACTAAGTATCACTCTGACTAGTCATGATAGTAGACCATCATGCCAGTGAAAGGCAGAAAAAATGCACTTGAACTTGTCTCATCTTGGATCACCTTTGCTCACCTCTGCGATGAGGAAGTCCACATTCTTCTTTACAAACACCTCCAGCTGCTGATGGAATATCTTTTTGACTTCACGTTCACTCTTGCAGCTCAGATACGAAGGTGTCTGACTCACGCCTCCTGCCACCAAAGCGTCTCCCTCATTAGCTACTTGCCGTGCAATGTCACAAGCAGCTTCATTGACTTTCTGCCCCTAAAGTGGGTGAAGATACATCTACATTTGCATGTGAAATTGAAAAAAAATTACTTAAATGCCCACATATCCATTTTATGTTTGCAATCATGATTCCAGTAAAGGACCGTGATGGTACAGGTCAACCTTTTACCAAGTTGAGCACTTTGTAGAAACAACACTAATAATGACAATAAGTCTAGAAGCAGTATCTAGGACACATTATACCAAAGAGCTGTGAGAGGACAGAATGTACGGAAAAAATCACAATGAAGCTCTTTGTACAATTAATCTATGCTTATTGAAAAACAAAGGATCTGATACAGTATCTTCTGACACCTATGCTGCACTTGAATGAGTGGTCATGGTGGTGGTAGCAATGGTTGGCTTTTATGTTTCATGAGATTAAAATTCAGTAAAAATATGACAGAATTCATAACTTGTTAAGTATTTTCTTGACTGATAAATGCATATCTAATTATTTACAAATTAAAATTTGACTCTGGGCTGGAGGTTGGCATTTTTGTTTTTGTTTTTGAGATGGAGGTCTCAGGATAACCGTGAGTTCCTGGGCTCAAGTGATTCTCCCACCTCAGCTTCCTGAGTATCTGGGATTGCAGGTGGTATCATCAAGCCTGGCCGGGCTGGGGCTGTCACTCAGTGGTAGAACACTTGCCTAGCATGTGTGAGGCCCTGAGTTCAATTTCCAGCACCATAAAACAAACAATACCAATTAAAAAACAACCTTGTCTTCACAAAACAAACAGCAACAAAAACACCAAGCCCCAGCCCTGTAGGTTGCTCAGACTTGTGGAATTTTAGAACTCCCTGTGACACATTTTTGAGATGCACACCTCCCAACCTTGCTGGAATAAATGGTTTGCACAACAACGCAAGCTAGTCGAACCTTTCCAGGTTTACTGACTCCTGTGCCTGCACTCTTTCCCTACACCATGTTCATTAAAAATTGGAAGGAGGTGTGGATTTATAAGGATGCCCACTTTCCTCGGCACCTAAATCAAGAGACTGGCAGAATGATTAGTTGTTAAGTACTTCTTTCATCTTCTTCATTAAGTCACTTTCTGTTAATTACAGACTCCAGCTATAACAAGGCTCTCATTTTTGTAATCATAGAAACAAAACTCCAAGAGGCTCCAGCTCTTCTGGGGAAGATCTTGGGTGGTGGAGGGTCTATGAAGCCTGTCCCAGAGCCCCTGACTGGTGTACTCACAGATATCTTCTCTGCAACGTAGTTTCCCCTATTCTCCAGCTTGTCCTCACTGGCGTAGAAGGTGAAGGTCTGCATGACATTGGAGCCAGCTCTGAGGAACTCCCGGTGAAGCTGGCGCACTGGGAAATAGCACATGGAGAGCTGTCGTTTCTATCCACTTAGTAACCCACCATGTTTTCAAAAGGCTCTCAGATAAACTTGCATGAAAATGACTGCTGAGATTGTTGTTTTTAGTTATTTGGCATTTGCACATCTTGGAGGTCAACCACTGGGAGCTCTGGGTCTCTTGGAACCTCCTGCAAACCCACCATGGCTACATGGATGGGTGGTCAGAGGAGGGCAGTTCATGGTCCCATCTTCACCCATGTTGCTCAAAGTTTTGTTCATTGTGACTTGTTCATCATTCACAGACTCTTTGTGGGTGGCACTCACAAATACATGGAGGAATAACCCATTATCCTGTCCTCGAAAAACTATGATACATTGAAAATAACTGACTAGATGCTTGCCTACCATGCAGGAGTACCACAAAATAAAGAAAGCAACAACAAGCCAAGAAGTGATGTAGCACTGTGTGGAGGAAGAGATGATTTCTACCCTGGCCATGGAGCAGAGGCATGAGGAAGGTCCAAGAGATAAGGAATTATTGGACCTGCACTTTGAAGAACTCCATGTTCTTGCCAGATACAGAAGGGGGGAAGGGCATTCCCAGAAGGAGCATCTTGAGCAAAGGCAGGAAGGCAGGAGTGAATTGGGAGTGAGGGGGATAACAATGGTCTAAGTGGTAGGAGATGAAGTTGGAAAGGGGCTGTAGACAGAGCACAACTGGCCTAGTTATGCTGGGCTCCAGACCTCATGTGAGAGAAGCAATTAGTCCAGTGTTTGGCAAAAAATAAATCTGGTTGCAGAGTAGAATAAGAATTGAAGTAGTGTTCTCAAGCACAGTCTATGGACAAATGCCAAATGGCAAATTCACCAGGCTAAATAAATATGGCAGGAAAATTTTTCCCTTATACCTATCTCTAAAGAATCATGCTTTTGGGGCTGGCAGAGTAGCTCAAGTGGTAGAGCTCCTGCTTAGCAAGCATGAGGGCCTGAGTTGAAACAAAAAAACCAAAAAATCCCCCAAGAATCCTACTTTGCTTTAAAATAACAAACTTAAACCTGTTTCGACCATTAGATCCCATGCATACTTTGAAAAAATTATGGATTTGAGGGTCAAACACACCGATGTTCTAACTTATCCAGGGTGGGATATAGCCATTGTTTTTGTTGTTTGTTTTCGTGGTGCTGGAGATGGAAGCCAGGATCTTGCACATGCTAGGCAAATGCTCTACCAGCCCTCATCGTTTTTCTTAAAGCTTTCCTAGTCTCAGTGTGGCTGAGAAGCACCATTCTAAAACAGTGCAAAACACTAATTTTATAAAAATCAGAGTGAGACTTGGTATTGTTGTGGAATGAAGCGAAGTAAGAAATCAGCAATCCTGTCAGACCCTGCCATTTATTTTGAAGTTTCAGAGGATTACACAGTCCAAAGGTCCAGGAGCAGCTGTGTCAGAGGCCAGGAAATGACTGGGACACTGGAGTTCTTGGCCCTTCACCTGCTAAGGCCAGTAATGAGTCTGTATGCATCAGTCCTGTCTGCCCAGCAGAGTGCCTGGGATATAGAAGCTTGGCTTTTGTTTTTAAATTGATGAACCAGTGAGGTAAAAAAAGCTTCTGTATTTTAGAAATACAGAAATGGGTTTCCAAGCTTAGAGTCAAGACTTTCCTATAATTTGTGGGGTTTTTTATTCTTGGGTAGTACTGGAGTTTGAACTCAGAGCCCTAGTGCTCACTAGAGAGGTGCTCTACCACTTGAGCCATACCTCCTGATTTTTTTAAATCATGGAAACATTACCTCTTAGTGGGAATGGAACTTAAAAGCATGCCTAACATTAGTAGGTTTCAAGCTTGTTTTAATTAGCAATGGAACCAAATAAAAACGTCTTGTAGGAGTTCCTGTCTAGCAATCAGATGCACACAGAACTGCAGTGGTTGGGGAAAGATCTTAAAGGGGAAGGAGGCACTATAGACTAGGATGCAATGTTTTCTAACCTGGACGCTCAGCCAGTTGTTCCCATGATGACATCTTGAAATTATGCGCAAATTATTTGTGAATGTGTACGTTTTATAGGGGCAATGGCCCCAAATAGTTGAAGACCACTCTGAATGAAGATCACTCTGAATGGAGTTGCTTGTCCCCTCATGATTTTTTGGGGGTGGGCAGGGAAGGTACTGGGTATTGAACCTAGGGCCTTGTGTATACTAGACAAGCACTCGACCACTAAGCTACATCCCCAGGGTTTTTGTGAGATGGGGTCTTGCTAGGTAGCCCAGGCTGGTTTTAAATTTGAGATCCTTTTGCCTCCACCTCCTGGGTCCTGGGATTAAAGGTGTGCATCTCCATACCCAGCACCTCATGCTTCTTAAGACTGAAATGCTAAGAATAAGCCACCTGAAACACACCTAGGGGCAATTACAACTTCAGATTCCCCAAACTCCTCGAGACCCAGGGAACCTGAATTTATTGCTGAATCCAATGCTGCTTCCATAGGTGCAAGAACCACAGCCTTGGGTGCCAGCTTAGGCAGGGGTAGTAGGATGATCATTTCTGAATATTCTTCCAACTTCTGTCTCCTCTTTTCTCCCATAATAAGGTTTCTAGACTCATCCTTTAACCAATAGTAGGAAGTGACTGGTCCCTAGGACATAAGGACACCACTTATGCTGATTACTTTGATTTTATAGCCTTAAACTCTGCATTATACTAGTTTTATTTTAACATCATGGAAGCTAAATGCACAATGTTGCACAGTTATGTACCTACATGGTTATATAGTAACTTCTAAGTTAATATGTAACTTGTAAGTTAATATATTCTTGAGAAATACATGTTCTTGAAATTCTACAAGGTCAGATAAAATCCTGTAGCATTTCTTTCTTTCTTTTCTTTTTTTTCCCCTGCAGCATTTCTGCAGTGGAATGGTACATTTGCAGTAAGACCATTTGGGAGTAAAATGTGACCTGACCCAACACAAAGGAAGTTGCAGATCAATCCTAGGTAATACACTGCATCTGTACTGTAGTAACTTTCTAAAATCCCCAAATTTCTGGTTTTGGAGACACATTTGATGCCCAGATGGTTTGAATGAGGGGTTGTGGATCTATAGCATGCCCTTCCCTTTCTTGCTGCCTCCAGCATAAAAAGTCAGGTCTGGGTACCAATCATAAAAATGTTTCAGATGAAGCGCTTGTAGGGACACCCTTCAGGGTCTATGTCAATTTTGACTATCACTCAGCCTAAATTATCAAAGTGTTTGTGGACACACAACTTCATTTGCATAAAATAGCATGAAGTAACTGATCAACTCTCTCATTCAGAGCATGCTTTGTTTTCTTTTTCTTGAGATGCTGAGAATTGAACAGAGCCTATGCACACTAGGCTCTACCACTGAGCTGCATCCTCAGACCCAGAGCATCAATGTTTTAAACACCTGTCACTTCTCCCAAAAGGCAAAATATAGCCACTATCCTGTGAGGATGGTTCTAGAAGGATGTGTGTTACAGGAGGTCTGTCTTTCCTGATGCACCTTGCAGTCCACTGTGCCTGACAGAGTTTGAGCTGGGTACTGATAGAGCCAACTACCATATGGAATTTCAGTCTGTGGCAGAAGGGATTAAACTGAATGCTTTGGTGTCATGGAATTTCCATTAATTCTTGAAAAGCATGCAACTCCCAGAAGAAAAAGCAGAGCAAATGCGCAACATACTTAAATAAGCCCAAAGTAATCTGGACACAGCTGATCAGGAAATAAAATGCTGGGCACCAGTTACTCACACCTATAATACTACCTACGGGAGACAGAGATCAGGAGGATGGCGGTTTGAAGCCAACCCCAGACAAATAGTTTGAGAGACCCTGTCTTGAAAATACCAACACAAAAAAGGGCTGGTGGAGTGGCTCAAGCAGTAGAGTGCCTGCCTAGCAAGCATGAGGCCCTGAGTTCAAACCCCAGTACCACACACAAAAAACATGTGCAATTTGTTTTGTTTGCTTGTGTGTATGTGTGGTGCTGGGTGCAGGTTTGAGGTATTACTCCTTCAGCCCGTAGTAAGCATGTGCCCCTCACTGCACCCCACCATTGGTGGCAGGAGGGCCTCTGCTAACTCTTGCATGCACTAGGAACACCACCTTTAAGATGTTCACTCTGGAGATCTGGGGTGTGCCCCTGGAAGGGAGTGCATGAGCAGGTGCCGTATCTCAAATGTATAATGGTTCAGGGAAGTAGTCATTATTAGGATTGAGGGATCAGATGGCTGTTGTTGGGTACCATTAATGCACTGGGTGAAGACAATGAAAGTCTAAGGGTAAATTAACTGTAGTTTAAGACAAAGCATGACAGTCTGAGGATCTCCTGGGTGGCACCTAAAGAGCCTCATCTGCAGCTAGAGAGCAGAGAGACTTGAAGGTCTGGCCCTGAAGTAGGTTACATAAGAGCAGAGCTCTAGAGAGGTTCAACTGTCAGCCAGACAAGGCTGCCATGCAAAAGCCAGGGCACTGAAAAAGAACAGATAGTATCCTGAGATGGGTGAAGACACGTGGATGGACTCAAACTTGAGAACCCTTGTATCCCCTGAATGCTCTGAGCCTGCAGAAATAGCCCTTCCTCCCTTGTAAAGATGAATGTGTCCAGGCTGGTGGAGTGGTTTAAGTGGTAGAGTATCTGCTTAGCAAGCTTGAAGCTATGTGCTCAAGCCCCAGTAATGCCCCCACCCCAAAAAGATGAATGCTTCCCTCTTGCTTGAGAACCATTGAGATGCTTCTGCCATGGAAGACAGCATTTATGTCCTCAGGTTCCCTCCTATCTCCCCTCCTGGCCATCAGAAGTCTGTGATCAAAAAAGTACAGGGGTAGAATAGATAGGGAGGGGTTAGTGAAATGTGAATTTAACTAGTCGTGATGTACAAAGGAGGGAGAGCTTATCCACAAGACAGTGATACCAATATGAGGTGGTTCCATGCATTCAAAACGGGTGGGGGGATGGGTGGACATAGGGGGGCAAATAGCTCACAAACACTAAGCTGGTCCATCAAAGGACAAGAGTCTTGCTGAGGCTGACAGGAGGTGGTGGTCAGGGTGTGGGGTGTTGGTTCCTGAGCTCTCAGGGGTGGCAGCCCTTGGTGATGGCAAAGTCTAGGAATGGGTGAGCAGAGGAAAAGTTCACTGGGGATGGTGAGGAGATTCAGGTGCTATCATGCAAAGTGCTGGACGGACCACCTGTAGACGTTGAAGTCAGCTAGACTGGTGAGGTAGGGGAGAGGGACAGAAAAGAAGGCAATCAGTCAGGTTCTAGACTCATCTAGAATGGGGGCCAGGGACTAGGAGGTGGGTAGCTGACAGCAGCAGGGAGGGTTGTGATGCTATGCAACAGGTGCCCAGCAGTCAATGTCAAGTTCAGGAAAATGTTGCACGCACACATCTGTTTGGTGTTTCCTGGACTTTGATCAGCATAGTGCTCATTATGAGAACTTAGAACAGAGTAGGGCTTGCACCAACCTGCCTCGGGGTGCTCCACAGCAGCTTCTGGGGTCCAGGGTCCAGCCTTTACGTAGCCTCGCTTCTCCAGTGCAAAGACAAACCCTCCATCTCCAATCACCACCTCTCCCGCATTTAGACGTTCCAGGATGCCCTGAAATTACACATGAGGGGGAAAAGAGTCATATGAGTTTTTAAGACAACTTTCTATCTTTAGTACTTTGGCTAATATATTCTTGAGAAATAGGATTTCTTAGAATTCTTAGAGAGAAATACATGTGTATTTTGCACATAAGTTTATGGCAGAATGCTCAGTGAAAATCTGTATGTTCACATGTGTGTGCTTGGTGTAGGATGGTGTTTTTCAGATTGCATGGAAGAGTATGCAGAATGGGGGTGTAGCTCAATGGTAGAGCACTTGCCTCGCATGCCCTAAAGGCTCTGGGTTCGATTTCCAGCACTACAAAAATGCACAATCTTTTTTAAATTCAAAAGTATATATTTAAATTTTTAATATATTTATGGGTACAGTGTGATAATTTGATTCATGTATACAATGAATAATGTTCAAATAGGGTAATTAAGATTTCTGTTTCCTTACACGTTTATCATTCCTCTGCGTTGGGAACTTTTAAACTTCTCTCTTCTAGTTCTTTATATAACACATAATAAATCATTGTAAACCTAAATTGCTGTCACTGTAATGAAGCCCACATTTTCTCTCTCTCATGCTGGAGATTGAACCGCAGATCTTTTGTATGCTAGGCAAGTGTTCTACCATTGATCTACCCCACCCCCACCCCTGCAGTACATGTTCTTCAAATGGTGACGGCTAGTTTTCTTACTTTATCAATAAATTAAAGAGAGGATTAAAATTGTGAAAGAGGTTGAAGTTGCATATGATGCTATTTAGGCCTTTTGAAGGCTGAAAAGTCACAAGACACTTGGTACAGACAGAAGGAAGAAAATTCTAGCACAAAGGTGATCCAATCATGTAAAAGACAGGAGTCTTTGGCATTAAAGTTCATTTGCCACAACAGCAGCATTCAGGAATGTCATTGCATCCAGGAATTTGTGAGAACGTGCATCCTATACTCTGTGTCAGGAATAGGGGAGAGACCAGTGAAGTACTTATGAAGTGGTTTCCAGCCCTTTCTTTCTACCTATTCCATTTACAGTACCATGCACTCACCCTGGTGCTAACGTTCAAGAGTTTTACAGATTAGAAAGCAATTCACAAGTGTAACTTTTTTATTTTCCAATTTTAAAGAATCACAGAGTTTAAATAAAAGGTACCCCACATTCAATTGAGGCTTTCAAATCAGGAATTAAAGCCCAGAGTCCTTGAGTAATTTATGCAAGTTTTTCCAGACTAAAAGTCTTCTTGACTCTTCTTTTACCTAGATCTGATTTTAAATAGAAGTGGGGGAGGGTGGGATAGCCCTGAATAAACTGCAGAGGTAAGGAGTAACTTGGAATGCATTCATTTACTGTGCTGCATTTTCTACCAATGCCAGTGAATTATAAAAATGTGGCTATAGCAAAGGTTACATAGATCTGTGTAGGCATTCATAGGATTTTGCACCTATATTCTGCTTCACCTTGTTAAAGTCTCACTCATTTTAATCCTCCTCCCTGTCCCAGCCCACCCCGTGCCATTTGGACAGCAGATGCTCAGAGAGAAGAAATCACTGACGTTTTTTCACCATAGAGCAGGAAGTTAAACGGAGGATTATGTGATCTACTCCCTAATCCCCTTTTGAATCCAAACATTTTCAAGCCTGGAAGTCCATAAGTTAATAAACAACTTCAAAAATATAGAATTGTTCACATGTAAGTTTGAAATCCAAATATGTGTCATAATTACAATGTATCTAAATGTCACCTCTTAAAACTTCAGCTTGGATCACTGTGACCCAGTTAACAAGAAAATGTATATGCATGTATTTTTATGTTAGATATATATGTATCTAATTTCCACCACTCAGTTTTATCAAAACCATGAACAAGGGTCCCAGAAATGAGGAATGACTTGCAACTAACTTTCATTGGGGTAAAATGATTCATGACACTTTGGCAATTGACAGCTCTCATTGCACTTTCAAACTTCAATACCACATGATTTGAACATAGCATAGCTAGGAATGTGACATTTGGTGGGAGGGTGGAGAGGGGCAATTCAATTGTCAAGCTCATCAAAAATTTGTTGAGCAATTCCATCTGTATATACTAGGGCTTAGATTCTACTACATTTTTAAATTAGACTTCAGAACTCTTAAGATAGTGTTTTTGAGTGGAATGTGCTCTGAAAAAGCATAACAAAACAGTATATGTAACGTCAGCTCATTTTTGCTTAAAAAGTGCAAATTTGCCTAGACAGCAAAATATATCCCAAAATGTACCAGGCACTGTTTGTGGTTTTACTAGTTATTTATAATGACTGTGTTTAGCTTCGCAACATTTTAAATTCAAACGTGTAGGCATTATTGCCTGTGCTTTAACACTGATAGGGAAACAAGGTGACTGAGAAAGTATGCCCCCAACACGTCCACCTGTCACTTAGCTTATTCTTCAAAGGTAATTCTTTAAAATGTTGAAATTTCTGAGTTTGAGTTTGGGGAGTGGCTATGTGAATGGGACCAAACCAAAGGAAAAATTAGCAAAATTTCCACAGGGATCACTCTTTCCCGTCTACAGGGACTGCTCCTTGAGTAGAGGTATGGTGAGGCAGTGGTTGTCACCCACATGAACTGGCCATAACCTGTCATCTTTGTTCATCTTAACATCTTCCTCACATGCGCCTGTCATGAGACATGACCTTTGAAATAGTTAACCAATTAACCTTTTTCCTTGTAGGGCGGTCTTTCTGATTTGGTGATCATCCCTGTAGAAACTAGGCACACCTGGTGGTTTCCCAGCAGGCCTCATGGTCCTCACAGCCCATGGGGTACAGTTGGCTGGGTCCAGGCTGCCTCCCCAGTGATCTCCTGGGGCCTCTTGTGGCTCCAGGAGTGTGGCTGGACGTTGGATACCAAAGGGTCTAGTATATTTGTTCCTCTCTCCATCCTCTCTTCCTACTCGTCTACCCATCCATTCCCCAAAGGCGTCCCTTCCGGACTGGAAATAACCACCTCAACAAGCCACCAGGAAAGTGGAGGGAAGAGCTTGTTTACCAGGAGCTAGAAACTGCTGCGTTTGGGGTTTTCACGTCTTATGAACAGTTCTTCAATATCTCCCAGCCACTCTGTTCAGTTTTTCTCCATGAAACTTACCATCGCCCCCACCAGCGTCCTGGCCTTGGAGAGGCAGCAGCGGGCAGGTGCCCCAACAGCCAGCGGGACATTGCCGCCGCGCGCCAGGACGCAGCGAAAACCGTCTGGAGGCTGCGCGGGCTCCTCTCCTGCCGGCTGGAGCCCCGCGCACTCCGCGAGCTGCGGGCTGCCTGCCCCCACCACCGCCATCTGGCGGGAAATCGGGGAGTTCTGTGGTCTTGGAGTGGTTGGGCTCAAGAGGCGTTGCGAGTCTCGGTGCTCTGGGAGCGCTCCCTGGAGTCGAGGGTGACTCAGAGGGTGACTTGAGGTCCAGGTGGCAAAGATCGCAGAGATTTGGGCGCACTCTGATCCAGGGGTTGGGGAGAGAGAGGGACTCTAGGGGCGCTCTCTGGACAGGGAGAAGGAACCGGAGACTTAAAGGTGCCCTGGGGCCACGCAAGAGGAACTCCGGGAGCACCTTTTCCATTGAAGCCCGCAGGTGGGATGCCAGGTCCACAGCTAAAGGCCTCTGAGCTTGCGGGCGAGTCCGATTGACAGCACCCTCGGGCTCCCTGGACACTCACCTTTTTGCCCCCAACGGGTGCCATCTCCGTGGTTTGAGACGGGTACTTGGCACAGCTGAGGACCGACCAGGCGAGCCTTTCCCCCTGCTCAGCCGGTGCTCCCGCGCCGCAGCCGGCCTCTTTATACCGCCCGGGGCGCGGGGTGGGTTTCCCAGCGCTGGCGAGTGCCACGCGGCCCGGGGCGGGGAACACGCCTACCAGCCTGTCATTCAAGCCTGCGATCGCTGGGACATGTTCCCCAAAATGGGTGGGAACACGGAAAGGTAAGCTAAAAAAACAATGAGGTTCATCTGCGCACAGTTTGGTCCCCAACCTTGAACTACCTCCCTCTTGCCTGGGACCATGTAAGCCGCCACATAAGCCGCCAAATGAAGCCCCCAAGAATTTCATTCAATGCCCAAATATTTGCTAAGGGCTAGGAATTCAAGGTTTGAGAGAGAGAGAGAGAGAGAGAGAGAGAGAGAGAGAGAGACAGAGAGATAGATAGTTCTGGAAGAAAGAACGTCAGCCTCAGTGTGACCTCTTGTGTGACATACATCCAGCATAATAACCCAATGGGCATTTGTAGGACAGCCCACTGCTGCCCCTGAAACCGCGGGTATGTTCAAAATGACCTCTACCTTTGTATGTAAGCATGCCTTGCACTAATAATACAGTAGTTTTATTTATTTATTTATTGCAAAATTTAACAAGGACAGATTTTTAACATTTATATATGGAAGTGGAAATGTGCTTTGGAAACTTCAGAATTAACATGAAAACTTTGTCAGTGTAAACACATAGTCATTAGAAGGGAAAGGAAATGGGAGTGTTCGCAGTAGTCATCCGCTGATGGTAGAATTAGCATGTTTTTATTCTGTTAGGTATTTCCCAAAATATTTTTACAATGAGAACATCCTGATTTTGAAATAACAAAAAAATTACTTTAAAAATATACATGGCAGTAAATAACCTACAAAACAGCAAAGTCTGAGACAGAGTTCAGAACCTTTTTCTCAAAAGCGCAGGAGAAAAATTTTATGTGTAACAATAACATCTCTTTCAAATTACTATGGCAAATAATGAATGAAAATTTAACTGCTAAACTGATGTGCGCTTGAGATACAACTGAGAAAGTAAAAAACTCCTTTTGCTTCTGACAAGTCTATCAAGTTTAAAATAGAGAAAAAAATGAAAGGATATATTATAATTCAAGTAATTTCGGATTTTACCTGCTCCACCCCCGCATGCAATCTGGGGTCAGCAAGAATGAGGCATGAGGTAATGTCACCTTTCCTAGGTTTTCGACCATTCAGGCCTTGGAGTATTTGAGTAGGTAACAGTTTCAGTAGTACCAGACATTGGAGGGCAGTATCAGGACTGCCGTCAATAAGGGTTCACAGCAGACTTTACCAATTTCACAGGTTCATGCAAATTCAACAAAACTTGGGAGAAATTTTTTAACTAGTATTAATTTTCAAAATGAATTATGAAGCTGGACGTGATGACACAGGACTTCAGTCCCAGCTCTCAGGGGGTTGAGGCAGGAGGATTGAGAGTTCCAGGATTGAAAATCCTGTCTTAAAATAAATAAATAATAAAGTTTTAATAGCTAATATGGACACATGGCAAGATTTTTTGAAAATTTTCCCCAGTGGTTGTTGCCAACCCAAGTCTCTTCCCTGGAGGTCACCACTGTTACCTGCTAATTATATTTCTAGAGGAATTCTATGCTTATCTAAGTGTATCCATGTATCTCAGAACTATATTGAGTGTAGAAAGTTTTAGTTATTTAAACACTTGTCCCTAATCACCTTTTCCAAAACGAGTTATAGGCAGCTGTTGAAGTCCTTTTGTGTTTCTTCAGCCTCGCAGTTTGCTGTTCAAACTCTCCTCCAACCCCAAAATAAGGTCCCTTAAAAAAAATCATTAGCCTGCTATTTCTGTAATAGACAATAATGCCTACACTTCATTGAGTGCTTACTATGTGCCAGGCACTCAGCATGTCTTTTCCATACACAGTGTTGTGTACTCCTCTAGACTCTGTGAGGTAAGTACCCCCACTTTGCCCTCAAGAATCATAAAGGCAGGCAGAGTTGTCAGCAAAGGCTCCAGTTCCTTTGCCCTAATCCCAAAGAACTAAGTCCGCTTGGACACCACTTAGGAAGCCAGTTCTGTAATAAGCTGTTCTTGGAAGGCTTATCATGTTCTCTGATCTCTGCCCTAGCAAGGAGATGAGGGAGATCCTATCACTGAAGTCCTTGGTCTTGTGCAAAGATGTTTGGGGTTAAAATTAAATTAGAGGGGAAAGGGAGGGTTAGAACTGGAGATCCACCCCTGAGTTTCATAACCTCAAAAGAGAGGTTATTGTTCTGTCTCCAGCTTGTGCTTTGCTCTACTTATAACCCAAGAAACATTTATTAAGCACCATTAATATGATATTTCAAGCACCATGTTCGGTGCTGTAGGTAAAGGATTTCTCCTTTTCTCCCCAGTGGGGAGATAGATATCATCTCATGTAAGTGCTTATATGTATATTCCATATATATTGATAAAATGTCCCTCTGTATGGAAAATGTCAGGATTTTTCATTTTCCATTCTGTTAACACTTCCTTTTATACTTGATTTTCGCCAACAGGCCAAGAAGCCAAGGCTTCTCCTTTAAAATGAAACTGGGAGTTGGGGGTGCTGCTCAGTGATAGAATGCTTGCCTAGCATGAACAAGAACCTGAATTCCATTCCCAGCACTGCATAAATAAATAAATAAACACATAAATAAATAAAATAAATGAAACTGACGCTTCACAGATCTTTTTAGACTAACAATGTGCCATTTAACGTTAAATCATTGAAGGTGTTTTATGTTTTAACACTGAGTTTAATGATGTTTTATGCTTCAACACTGTGTAGAACTGTTTGCAAAGTGGTGACATGGAAATGTAGCCAACCCCCATATTTCCTTTGGCAAAGCTGGTGTTTTTGCAAAAGGAATGTGAATTCTGTTATGTAGAGCATTCGCCCTTCCTGCTTGTTACCCCGTTCTGCTACACTCTTCTGCTTCACATGTTTACTTTACCGCCAATGTTTAGTTTCTGCTGTCTGTAGAAAATATACTTGAACTTATTGAATATATGTTCCCCCAAACAGTCCCCAAACCAAAGGTTTTCCTTGCCTGCTGTCACTAACCTCAGCTGTTTTTCATCACCACTGCTGGGATTATTGTCACAGAGTGGGGTGGGGGTGGATTTTTTTTTTTGAACACTCTCTCCGCCAGGTGCAGGGCTGTCTTCACTTAATCTTTTCTGGTAACACTTCCTTCCCTCTGCCATTGCAATGGCCACATTCAAACATTTTTGCCAATGCAAACCACTTATCAAACCATATAATATCACCACCCCTCTTGAGAGGTCCATCGTTTCTGCACATGTAAAATTCAAAGTTGGAGCAAAGTGACTTCTCATATTTGTTTTTGTAATTGAGTTGACTTAAACTTAGGGTACAAAGCAGCTCTTTCCCAGGGGCTTTGCCTTTTCTTTTAGCAAGCACTTTTTTGTTACTGTTCTTTTCTGAGCTGGGGTTTCCCTACATTGTCCAGGCTGGCCTCCAACTCCTGGTCTCAAGTGATTCTGGCCTCAGCCTCCTGAATAGCTGGGACACAAGTGTTCATTGTTGCACGAGTCCAGCAAGTTTGTCCTTAGCCTGGCTTTGAGGGTGCCGCTGGCTCCTGCTGGTTGCCTCCATCTTCTGCCAAGGGTTGAGTCTTCACTTTTGTTTCCTTTGCTCCTGGAGAAACAGTAGAAAATTTTGTTTTTGCTGGATGATTCCAGACTTCTTTTTGCTACAGGTAAAAATGCTTCCCTCAGCACTGGTATGTTGGCCAGACTGTCCTGGCTTTCCACAGAGGAGTCCTCCAGCCAATGTTCTGGTTAATTCTGCATACTCCCAGTTTTCCAGAACTATCCTTCCAACATGACAGTTGTATCCCAAGATCTCTTTCCAGCTCCAACATTTCCCTCTTTCTTCAGCCTTTTCTTTAATCTTTCTAAGATTATCGGCCTGCCATATGGTCTTTTCCTTAAAAAACCATAGTTATAATTTCATGAGCACTTACTATGTGGAATTAGATGAGCTGAGTGCTTCTTAGGCATTATGTAATTCTCACAGTACCCTATGAGGGAGGAACTTTGACATCCCCACTTTATTGATGGCAATATTGAGGAACACAGAGGTTAAATGAGAACTTTCCCAAGAACGTGCCAGCAGTCAGTGGAGAGGGCACAGAGCTTCAGTCCAGGCTGAATGAGGTCAGAGAGCACATTCTTTACTCTGTATTTTCTTTCTAGTAAGCCGTTTTTCTAAAACACTTCCCAAACTCTTTATAATTTTGTCCAAGTCATGGCTGCTTCCACTCACCTGGTCCAACACAGAAGCTCTTTCTCCCTGTCTGCAGAAGTTTAGATTTGCTGGAAAAACCATCCATTATTGACAGAATGGTGTGTTCTGTCCAGGCTATCATTGGTGAAGTGCACCATGACTTTTGGATTGTGTGTAACCCCTGTGTTGTCTGTCATCCTGAAACATCATTGTTGTTTTAGATGGGCAATGGAAAAGAAAAACAATATATTCCAGGAATAGTTGCTCAAACA